CGATTTCGTGCATTGATTACTAGTAACTCAGTCTTGTCCCCATTCAATTTTAATTTATTTTTGACCATCCACAAATCAATCTCCCTTACACACATTTCGATTTGTACCAGTGCTCCCGCTTTTCCTTCAGTGGTTGACTCAAACGCGAGATATAATTGCGAGTCGTCTGCATAAAAGTGAAAATCAAGATCATGACCTCTGATGATATCACCAAGGGGTGAAGTGTATAGTAAATATAGTATAGGGCCGAGAACTGATCCTTGTGGGACTCCACAGCGCAAGTCTTTAGAGATAGATTTAACACCGTCAATCACTACACTTTGCGTTCTATTCTGAAGATAGGACTGAAACCATCTCAACACTTGCCCATCTATCCCAAATCTTTTGAACATTCGTTGTAGTAAAGGTTCGTGATCAACAGTATCGAATGCTGCTGACATATCTAGTAATAGCAACGCCACACACTTACGATTATCAATGGCTACAAGAATATCGTTTTGTACTTTTAATAGGGTTGTTTGTGTTTATCAATCTCATGCAGAGGAAAAGCATTTCTTCCATTCTAATTTGAGAGATTCATTTTTGGTCATTTCATTATGCGCTGCTTCAACCATCTTATCTCTATGAACTGACAGTTTTGCATTGTTCATTAGGGACACACGGTGACTTTCTAGTGCGACGAAGAACACGTATCACTGATGTGTAACAGACCTCTACTACGATACTGCCTGTTTTCAGTGTGTTGTGAGAAAACTACGAAAGATGCCGTTATAATAGGCTTTATTCAACTTAAAATTGTACCTAACATTTTACAAATATGGCGGTCGAGACAATGTTTACATTCTGTGGGTCATACGCTGACCTTTATACTCTGGCTCAGAGCATACATTAAATATTCATAACATTCTCCCCGTCCTAATGTTCTACCTACTAACGAGAAACTAATAAAATCATAATAGTCTTAATAAATCTACCTATAAATATAAATATAAACTAATAAAGTTTATAAGATAATTTAAAAGTCTAATCTATCAATGATATGACCAATTCATAAGTTTAATCTGTCAACAGGTCGACGCGTGCGTGTCGACCGTCTTAAGGAAAAGTCTGCATTATGTTCTTCTACCGAATGACTAATTCCTGGTTTCTCTATCGAAGAGGATTGTTCGTTTTGGGTTGAGTCACCTTGTTCTCCATTTGATCTTCCGAAATCTTGTGGCTCATCAGTTGTATCGTCAGCAGGACTGCCCGTTACCTCAGCATTCGAGATTGAGTTGTTGTCGTTTCGTGCCACGGATGGTTGACAGGTCATTTCCTGGCCCCGAGGTGCAAGGTGCTTAATAGCTACGCTCGTTTCTCTGCCATCTGGATAGCGCACGTGAGCGTAATGAGGGTTAGCTTGAAGCAGTTCTACTTTGTCTACGAGCGGGTCATGTTTGCTTGATCGGACTTGACGTTTAATGAGAACAGGTCCAGGCTGTAATAACCATGAAGGTATAGAGCTTCCAACGGTTGATCTTCGGGAGAAACTAAAGAAACGTTCATGGGGTGTCTCGTTTGTCGCTGTACATAAAAGTGAGCGCACCGAATGTAGAGCGTCCGCGAGAACTTCTTGCCAATATTTTACTGGAAGATTCTTCGATTTAAGGCAGGTGACGATTGCTTTCCAGAATATGCCATTGTACCGCTCTACCTGACCATTTCCTTCGGGATTGTAACTAGTTGTACGACTTGTGGCTACTCCTTTTCCGATAAGAAAGGTTCGCAGTTCTTCGCTCATAAATGTTGCCGCTCGATCAGAATGAATATAAGCTGGCATACCAAAAAGAGAAAAGAGCGTAGTGAGACACTTGATCACAGTGGTTGTTGTCATATCAGGGCATGGAAACACGAATGGAAATCGTGAAAATTCGTCGACCACATTGAGGAAATACCGATTCTTATCAGTCGTTGGCAGCGGGCCTTTAAAATCCACATTGAGCCTTTCAAACGGTTTCGTAGCTTTGATGAGATGAACTTGTTCCGGGCGATGGAACTGAGGCTTGCATTCGTTGCATACTTTGCATGCTCTTGTAATCCTTCTTATCTCCTCGAGAGAATAAGGGAGATTCTTTGATCGGACAAAATAGTATAATCTTGTGACACCCGGGTGGCAAAGTGATTCATGAAGGTTGTAGAGTGACTGGGACGTTGTAGCACAAGTAGCGCGAGATAACGTATGTGGGTCATACGCTGACCTTTATACTCTGGCTCAGAGCATACATTAAATATTCATAACACAGTGATTCCAGGGTTTCAGGAAATTTGGTAGTATTTTCGATCTGGCTGAAGGGGACGACGATGTATTCTTCCAATAGTTCACATTTGCACTGCTGTTCGTAAACTTTCTGTACTGTGTAACTATCTTCCGTGAAAATATTTCCCTGACATACTTTCTCGACCTTTCTAGTACTTTTCTCACCGCCCAGGCCCCAACATGCCTTAATTTTGCCCTTCCTGCAGCTGACATTTCCTGGACATTGAACTGCATTGGTGTTATCTCCATCTCTTTTTTTACAACTTTACTTAAATGATCCATGAACTTCCAATAGATATCTATAGCAATTTGGGATGATATGCTTTTCTTTACTCTTGAATATTCAGTTGTATCCCAGAGGCCACTAATATATTCTGCATAAATTTCTGATCCAAGAAGTTGATGAAACTTGCCAGTAGCAAGTGTGAATCTCTGCCTGGACATATCCACGACTACTTCTTCAGTATTTTCCTCAATGTAGCTTTTGATAAGCAGAAAAGAGTGGTACCATATGATATTTGCAAATATATGGACATTCTCCTTATGATATGTAAGAAGCAGTTCCAGCAGTTCCAAAAATTTTTTCGCAAATACCAAAATTTTTCGGAACATCAAACTAATTTTACCAAATATTAAAAAATTCACATAATTTCCCCACAATTGACAGAATTTGTCCCATTTATTTTTATAATAACCCAATATTGCCCGACTGTGAAGCGAATATTTCCCAACTGGCTTTGTTTGCCCAACAAACTGGGGTTATTATTAAGAGAGATTTTACTGCTTTGATTACTTTTTGCCCGACTTTTGTTGAACATTTGCCTGACTTTTAGATTTTGTAATATTTTTGGGGGGCAGCTGCCCCACCTGCCCCCCCTGCCCTCCCCCCGTCCCGTACGCCTATGAGCAGTTCGATAGAGCTGTTCTTTTCTTTGGCAAAATCGCTTGTCGGACATTTCACTTTCAAAGAAGCAAGTATTTCAGTAACATCTATCAAATCAACTACAGGTTTTGCCAAATCTGATTCGTGCTTCACCAGCTGGTTGTGAACTAAGCTTAGATGTATGGGAGTATCAAAGTCAGGCCTCTCAAAATAATCTTCCACCATGCTATCCATCGTTGCAGCATCAACGATTGGTACATCCGGGTTATCATATTCTAGTTAATCTTCTGGTTCATTATTTCGATCCATTACTTCGATAAGTCTGCTATCATCGATTACTTTCTTCCTGCAGCAGGTTAAATCTTCCATTGGACATCCAAAGTTCGTGCAGCATTCGCTGATGGTTCTGTCCGAGGGTTGCAACAACCAATTGCGATTGAACCATAAAAGCTGTAAATGATCCGCTGATCGAACCCTTGACATTGCCACATATGTTAATCCAGGCACAAATTTCCTGGAACAATGAACTACAGCTGCAGACAAAGTCAGTGCTTGGGATTTGTGACAAGTGATGCCATATACGCCCAAATGACTGGAAACTGAGATTTAGTGCCAATAGTTTGTCCCTGCTTATTGTGGTTAAACCACGTGTTCGATCGTGTCATTGCTGACAACTCTAAGAAAAATGCCCAATACACCATTTATTAAGCTGTGTGATAAATTCCACACTAGCATGACTTTGGCGTTTTCCTTTAGAAATAGGACGTCGTCGCAGTGACACTTCATGTTATTGGTTTTACCTTTACATATGACATTGAAACGACAAATATCTCCAGGAAGTTTATCAAGCTCTGTTCATCGTAACTCAAAGGTCTAGCCAAACTTATAAGAAAAGAATCGGTTTCATCCGAACAAACTCCTAGTCTAACTTGATTTAAAGCAGACAAAAATTTGCGCTCGCTTTTGTTCTGTCGCATAACGGTGGTCAATTGGACTCGGTGATTAATTGCGAAGGTGAACAGTGGAGCCAGAAACATAAAGTTTCCTTTATCAAAATAACTAGGTACAGGATTTAATTGAAGAAATTCTCCAACGATTATCATCTGCTTTCCACCAAATGGATAGTATTTGTTTTCGGGTTCTGCGAACTCAATATGAATGTTATTGACAAGTTCGAGCATTCTACAGCTTGACATACTTGCCTCGTCCCAAACTATTATATATGTAGCCTTTACTCTCTCTCTCTGACATTGTCATTCATAATCGCCCTTTCTATTACGTTCTTCCAAGGCAACTCTGCCGTCAGAAAACCGTAGAACGAATTAACGGTTATGGCAACACCAGGTTTATATACTTCGCACGCTTTTCCTGTTGAACAAACAACCGCGACTTTTCTGTTCCTCTTTTTTGCATCTGCCAAAATACTTTCCACAACTGTGGATTTCCCAACTCCGGCCTGTCCCGTTACCAAAACATTATGGCCTTGCAAAACAAACGTGACTACCGGATCGCCTGTTCTTTGTTCAATGACAAAAAACTCCTGTTGAAAGGTTAAATTATTATTAAGCTTCAGGAACCTTTTTCATGTTTCACTGTAGCTCGTATTTTTAGTTTTGGGCGTGAGATTTCAAGAAAACGTTTTAGCTTTATTGTATAGCTTATGCAATGAATCACTACTTTAGGCCTACGGCTATGGGGTTCGTTTCAAACGAATAAAAATGTGTTTAGCCAAAGTTTTGAAATGTGGGTATGTGGACACCAACCTCGTTCCCAGGCTCTTCCCTCTTGTTGAGGTAAGACCCTGGTCGGGGCTGGTCACGTGTCACGCAGATTCTGCGTGGTAAATTGAAATTGATCTCAGGGAGGGGTAGTAGAGAGCTGTTTGTTGCGTTTGGAAAATTGCAATTTTGTGTGTTATAGTTTCGGGTGATAAAAATGTAATTTGCAACAAGAAATCGTGAAAGGAACTGTTCTAAGTTCATATTCATCATGACACGACTTCCTGCTATACTGAATGTCATCAATAATAAGTGTTGCGGTACATTTCAAGCGAGAAGCTAGATCATATTTCACTTCCACACGCGGCTGGCTTGCGAAGTCGAGCACGCATCGCCGTAGAAACATATATGTCTTCCCAATTGTATACCGACTGATCGATCAAACGATACCAAATGAACGATATGGTTGTTTATGGTTTAAAGGGAAATGGCAATATTAGCCTGCGAACAGGCTCTTTGAATTGAATTAGAGCCTGCCGGTTTAGTCAATAAAAATGCGTCTGTGCCCATCACTATTTATAGTGTTGTCAATCAAATGTAAAATACAATGTGACAAATTAGTACAGACATGCCTTATGTGATAGCCTGTGAATATAAACAAAACGCATATCTTGATTTCAACGCACTTACAACAACATTAAATGCACTTATCTTTCTTTCAAACAACCCTGAAATTTCCTGAAGTAGCAATAGTAATTGTGAATTCACATAAACACCGCAACGACTTGAGTTTGAACAACTACGACGTACTAGAATGTAAAGAGTAAAGATGCTATTGTTGATATAAGAACGTTGCTGTTGTATTTGCCAAACTGTCTGATACAGTACAGCTAAAACATCGTTTCCGTCTAGAATAATAATAGCTTTTGACTGTCCATCCTTTAACTTTAAACAAAGATTTTAAAGTTTTCTATACACCTTGTCGCTATAGAACGATATTTTTCGATTTGAATTTATTGTTGTGTAAATTTAATTACCTTTTATGGCAGTATAATGTAGTTAATTCAATTTCAACCAATGGGAACCCTGCGTCGTTCTAAGCAATGCACAGACGCGTTTTTATTAGCTAGGCCTGCAGGCTCTCTCTCAAATTTCAAAGAGAGTTCAAAGAGAGCCTGTTCGCAGGCTAACTCTGTATGCGCTTGGAAATATCAAGATGACTTGAAACCTTTAAAACATCTACCAATCAATATTTGGTCAGCAACGAATACTTTTATATGGTTAATCCCTGTTGTGACGTCACCAAAACTACGGTTAATGAGATAAAAAATTTATCCAAGATGGCGGACATCTCATTACTTCAAGTGAAAATATTTCAAGAACTAAACGAGATATGAAGAATCGGTAAAAGAAGTTATTAAATAGTTTCAAAAGTTCTTTTAAATGAGAAAATAAAAAAATATGTTGCCATTTCCCTTTAAGTATATCCTGTTCGATATTCGAAACAAAGGATTTATTTTATAATGGATGCTTTCAAGATTTTTCAAACATCGCTATTAACTGTGTGTAATATATTATTTTGAATAGCAAGCTTCAAAATATCATATTTTCTGTTGTTTTTATATAACTGATTTTACCTGCAAGATAAACTTCGACTTTTTTCCACCATGACACCACCTTCCAGCATGGGTATTGCAGTGACTGTAGTAATATCATCATCTTACGTCAGTAGGACTACATAAGTCAATAATATAGTCATAACCAGACACCATGTAGTCTTTGATCTGGTCAAATTGATGGTTACGAAATGCTTCCAAATATGTCGAGTAGTTCTCGATAATGTTCGCTAATAGTGAGTATGAACTACTTGTGAATTGTGTCATACTATACGATTTGACCAAATGGGCTTTCACATCAAGAGATTTGGCAACCATTTGCAACTCTGACAAATGTTTTCCAGAGTGGAAGGCGGCTCCAAAAACATTTGACCTCTTGATGACCCTTGAAATGAATTCTTTCGAGTCTCCAATTTTCCCTCTCGAACATCGGTAAAGGCCAAATCAGAAAAGTGGCCTGGATCCCAAAGAATGCTGAAGAAGGTATCTAAAACAGGGTCTACATCAAAATCAAAAGGTAACAACCTCTTTAATTCGTCTCTGAATCCAGCACTTTGATATTGTCCATCAGCAACGATGCCCTGGCAGTATGAAAGTTCATCTGTTTCCAGTTCGTACGTTTTCTTCACCAACATTATAGAACTTGAAGCTAATTGGTTTGCATAAGCACCTGTTATTGCAGTGTTATCGTCGTTTGTTTGGTAAACCGCAGGTGAACCAACTGGTACTGCAATACGTTTACCTTCATCATTAAAAACAATCGTTGTTGCTTGGTTGGTTTCTCGTCCTGGAGTTCCCTTGTCCATAGTAAGAGAGAAATGGGGGTTTAAACCTGTGCATTGCAGTGGTGCTTTAAGCTGTTTCGATACCTCACCATCAATCCATGATGCAGCAACATCAATGATATTTTTTAATTCTTCCTTACTATGACCAAAGTCTCCGCAGTCGACACCGCACATTGCTTTATCTGCAACAAATTCAGGGTAGTTTTTGGCTGCAGCATGATTCTTCACAACTGCAAGAGCTGATTGTACTAAGACATTCATTGCTGATGTAGCTCGCGTTTAGGTTCTTTGAATTTCTTTCTTCCACTTTATTGCCTCATAGTGGATCCTTAATTGCAAAAACGAAGTATAGCCTTTCCTGGTTGTTTGTCCCCAATTTTTCCATCACCTACTGTATATTATAAAATTAATGTATATTCATAAATCTAATATATACGAGCTAGTTTACGAAATACAAAAGAGATAGATGCATCAATTGGTCTATTGCGCACTATTTCATATACGGGAGGAACAAAAAGATGCAATTTATGTTTGGGGGTAAAAATCTAACCTATAGTTTGATTGATAAAAACAACTATTACCTGCAGGAATGAAAACAATATCTTCAACATTAGCTGCAATCTCTGATATATCTGAATAGCTTTTGAAGTCGTATTTTCTAAAATCAGGATCTGACTGAACATGTACACTATCTGTTTTCCTGTTGGCATCCACCGATATCAATATCTTTTGCAACATACTCATCATGTTTTCCATGTTTGGTTCCCTGTTTGGCATCGTTGTATTTGGTTCCTTCTGAAATGAGATACAGCTTTGTTGTTTGCTCTTTTCATTCACGCACATTGTGTTTGGTCCTGAATTGGAAGGATTGCTCTTCTGCATCTTTGAAGGCGGTTCATCTTCAGTGGTTTTTGGTTCATCAGGCCGATCAGGGCAACTGTTTGCCTCACTTCCAAAGTAACTCCCTTCGTAGGATGCCTGATTAAGACCCGAGTCCCTATTACTAGCTTTTGAACACTTGCCTAAACCTGAGGTTGCTGAAAGATTTTTTACCACTGCCGTTTCATTTTGTAGTTTATCAGTCAAAGCTTCGAATTTCTTGATATACTTTTGTACTATCCAGCTTTTTGAGCAGTCAGTATGATGTCTTTGATTGTGTCTTGTGATAGTGGATGTATTGTTTCTTGTCATTTTACTCTGCATAAAAGGCTTGTGATTTTCAAGACAGGTCACGCATACAAAAAATACTTCTTTATGTTTCTCCAATGGGTTATCAGATGTTTTTGTTCTGTGGCTTGTTTCCTTTCTGTCAAATAGGGCTGCCCATTGTGCATTTATATGAACTTTCGTGCCTGTGAGTTTAGAAAAACTAGTCAGGTTTCAAAACTATTCAGTAAGGGCACCAAGGGCCTCCTCTCCAAACATAAATCTTTCAGTTACAGTATGATCATATCCTGTACAGCATATTTTCTAACTAACATTTAAAAAAATTGTCAAATTGTTTAAAAACACAACCTTGCTTTCAACTATTTTAACTTAGGCTAATGCGACCTGGGTGTATAATGCACAACACATTGTGCCACTATGTGAATACCATAATCACAAATGTGAAAATGCAATTGTTTTAAATAGACTTTATGATAAATTAATAAGTTAGTAACTCACCAGTTTTGGCTTTTTTATTTTCTTTACATTTGAAGCAAATGACAGGCTGACCATAACCTTCGGCACTGTTCGGCACAGGATCTCCACAGATAAATAAATGGACAGCTTGCTTGCAACCACAACATACATGGGCACCATCGATATCATTTTCGCAAACTGGACATATATCATTCATTTTATATAGTAATTGAATAATAGTATGTAAATCAATTATACTTATCTGTAGATATTCAACCATTTCATCTTTAATTGAATAATTGATAGATGACCGTAACCATAACTTCTTCAACAACAACAGCTGCATTTTGCATAATGCATGATGGCTTTTGAAACATTCAATAAACAGTGTTTTAATAATTAAGGGAAGGTTCATTATTTATAGGGGTGGGGTGGGGTGGGGGAAGGTGATTTCTAAACTTCAAACAGCATAATAAAAATTAACACCCCCCCATTCATATGTGTTAAATAGTTTAGTACTTCCTCTATAGAAGCAACAAATTGAACATTTTCCATCCTCCTGCACACCAATATTTTAAATTCAGGTTGTATTATAATTATATCTAGTAGGTATTCTGTCTTGGGGAAGGCAACATGTAAGCAGTGGTGCCTAAATTACTTTGATTTTATACTTGAGTAAAAGTAGAAGTAATTCGCATTAAAACGACTTGAGTAAATGTAAAAAGTACTGGAGAGAATACGTACTTGAGTAAAAAGTACAAAGTATTTTTCAAAAATACTTAAGTACAAGTAAAAAGTACAAGTACTGTATAGAGTATATCGAGGAATGATACTCTGGATTAGACTAATAGACCACCAACAATACGATAGTTACATACCGCAATTTTACCTTCAGGCCTCTTGGGATTTTCAATTTTTTATTAAATTTTAATTAAGCACTACTGGGGGATTATGATGGGTGTCTACGGCTACAAGGGATTTTAAAGTTGCAATTTAATACCAATGACAACTGCACTACACTACATCCGATGAATTCCCGGGTGGCAATTTCAAGTTTTTAGAACCCTACCATTACCAAACAGACAAAGGCATAAAACAGCTTACCTGTACATGTTTTCTTAGGTTTGAAGGCGACGAAATGAATGCAGATCTCTCTCTAACAAGTGGCGAGCAAAGGCAACATATGAATTTGATGCTCTTGTTCTCTCTTCCCACTCTTCCATTGTAGCGAAACATTGACTTCAAATATGGCCAAGGATGTTCCTCCTCTTCTCCTTTTTTACCGATAGTATTAACACCTTCTAGTCCTTGTCCTCCGTTTAAGACTTCGTCTGCAATATGCAAATCACTGTCGGCCATGGCTGCCCAAGCAATTCGGGTAGAGTTCAATGATTGGGCCAGTGAACTCGGCGCAATAATTTGGCCGAAACGCGTGTATTGTCGCATGTGTTCAGCGGAATATATTAACTGTCTGTACTTCGTGTAAATAACTATAAATTTGATTGCGATTGGAGTCGAGTTTAAAAATCGAAATTCATTTTAGAAATCACCGAATCAGGTAAAAGATAGAACTAAAATTTGATAATACCATAAAAGTAACGGAATAAGTTCTTTGAATGTTTGCATGACGATAAGATATAATTGTTTTTGTTTGTGGAAACACCACGTAAATTTATTATTTATTACTAATTTATTACATCATTATATTAACCATCATTATTTTATGCAGTAATAAATTTACGTGGTGTTTCCACAAACAAAAACAATTAGTAACGGAATACTTCACCGCAAAATAAAAATAACGAAGTAAAACGTTACTTTTTGAATTTACTTCGTTCCAAGTAGAAGTACTCTGTCAAAAATTTACTTCGTTACTTGCTCACTTCTCAAAATTAGTACTCAAGTAAAGTAACGAAGTACATTTACTTCGTTACTTGTCACCACTGCATGTAAGTTGTGGATTGAAAAGAACAATTAGAAAAGAATATGGTATGATGGCTCCTCCCATCCCATTCTTTTGTGCGTTCTGGAAACTGTCAATATACATGCCACCTTCCCTAAAATTAAACAGAGAATCAGGTATGCTGTTCAGGCAGTCCTTAAAAAATACATTGTGTTGTAGGGTAGTTCAGGGGTTCATCCCCCGAAAAAATTTGAAATTTAGAGCTTCTGCAATTTCTGAAATGGCTATATCTTCATTTTTATTAATTTTATCAACGCTATAAAATTTTATTGTCCCCCAAAAAACTCTTAAAAATATTTATCCCCCCCTTTTACAACCATGGAGAATATTTGAACCCCCCAGTTTTTACAAGCCCCCCCCCCCACACACAGAATAATAATAAGTATTCTATAATTCTAGCACAGGCAAGACTAGGTAAATATAGCAATATAAATTATCTAAAGTCATTTTAAATATTATTATTATAAAAAGTTAAAAACGAACGACGCTCAGTCAGTCAGTCGCGTTCTGCCGTTCTTGTCCAAATTTAAAAAAACTGAAAAAGCATCAGTTACATATAATTATATATACTCACATGTGGTCGAGATTTGAAGATTTTTGCCAGATAGGCTCAGATTGACAGATTCGTGTTTTACTGTATTAGTGTATTTAATAGAGTAATCGTTGAAATGTTGAATCTAAATTAATAAATTATCTAATAAACAAGACTGCCAGTGAAGAGAAAAGTTACATTAAATAAAAAAAGCTTTCCTGAAAGATATCTTCATATAAAATTATAAATAGTTAAATACAAAGATAAAGTACATTTTATTTTTTACTGTGAAATAATGAAAATGCCAAAAAATGGGGGGAAATCTTCATTGAAAAAAATTAAAAAAAAGTAAAAACCCTGGCTAAATTCTTGTTGTTTAAAACAAAAAAAAACAAAAAAACAAAAAACATACCTGAAGGATAACTTCGGCCTGAGGCTTAAATGCGGGTACAAACTACAAACAATTTCAAATTTAAACAGCGAAATCTCCGAAAAGTAAAAAAGTGTGGAGAATTAAAAAAGCTACAAATTTGGAAATGTCAAAAGTACGCCAGCTGTGTTAATCCGCTAAAAAATGTCGCGAAAAAATATGCTGTTTTCGAAACTTTCACCAAATATTCAAAATTTGGCTTAGCCCGCGTGCAGGCCCAAGGGAACTGATAGTGGGCCTGCAAGCAAGTTCCGGTATTTTGTAAAACGCCCCTTTTCATAACACGCCCCATTCGCGCGTCAATTGTCAAAAAAGAACCAATGACAGCACCCAAATATTAACAAACAAACTCGCATTAAAATGTTGCGAGGTTTTCCCTGCTTATTCAGAACATAAACAATGTGTAAATGGCTGCGTTTTAACTCCAAAAAAGCAAGCAACGCAGTCAGTAATTGCCAAATTTGCAAGTGCTCATTTCCAACTAAAATCGGAACAGGCAAATTTTTATTTTTATTTTTTATTTAATATATTCGCCCAAATCAGTTTATAAAATTAACAATTTAAATAGAAAGTATTTACAATAGTAGGGCTAGGAATCTTCTAGAAACCATAAGGCTTTTGTTTAAGGTCCCTAGTTACAATTCAAATAATATAATATTAAAAGTTAATACCAGTCCAATTGTTTTCAAAGGAATTACGGTGATATATTTACAATAAGGAAAGTGCGTAAAAGATATATCAGACTATAACAATTATTTGGCTTTTCACTTTGTGCCAAGAATTCTACTTATTTAAATTTGACAGAAGAAAATATATTTTTATTGTAGATTTAAATATTGGAAGAGATCTAATTTGCTTATATTGCGTCGGAAGATTATTCCACACATCGATGCCGTTATTACCGCGCGTGTGTTTTTTATAATTTGTTCTAGTACAACTTTTGTGGAGCAATGATGCGTTTCTTGTGTTGTAATTATGGATTTCTTTGTTAGTTAAAAAATATTTATCAAAAATTTCTGGAAGATTTTGTAGATGAAAATATCGGAACATAAATAGACTTAATAAGTTCTTTGAATGTTTGCATGGCGATAAAATATAATTGTTTTTGTTTGTGGAAACACCACGTAAATTTATTACTGCAAAGTTTTCGATCCGTAAGCCCGGATCTTCATCAGTGCTAATAATATGTTATACATTATTAGCACATATTATTAGCACTGATGAAGATCCGGGCTTACGGATCGAAAGCTTTGCAGTAATAAATTTACGTGGTGTTTCCACAAACAAAAACAATTATAAATAGACTTGTTAAGAAGTCATTCAATTTATACAAGTTTAGTATTTTAAGGTCATTAAAAATTGGTTCAGTATGGTCAAAATAGGATTTGAAGGTCATTAATCTTACTATCTTTTTCTGGATATTAACTAATTTTTGAATGTGGGATTTGTAAGCGTTACCCCAAACTAAATTACAGTATATAAGATATGGATAGACCAATGCGTAATAGTGATGTTTTAAGGAATTTAGGTTTGTAAAATGTTGTATTCTGGATATAATAGCTGTACATTTGATAATTTTTTTTGAAATAAGATCTATATGATCGCACCATGATAAAAATTCATCTATAACAATCCCTAAAAACGTAGTTTTTTTTACTTGTTTTATAGTTTCGCTATTTATAGAAATTCTTAAATCACATTTAGGTTTCTTATTTTTTGATCTGAAAAGGATCAGCTTGGTTTTCGCAGTGTTTATAGATAATTTATTAACACTCAACCAATCTGTAATTTTGTTCATTTCAACTTGAATAGTTTCGTTTAAAGTTTTGAGACAAACATCGCTATACAGTATGTTAGTGTCATCGGCAAATAATATAATTGAAACCAATTTACTGCAATATTGAATATCATTTATGTATAAGAGAAATAATATAGGACCTAAAACTGATCCTTGTGGCACACCGCTTGTGATAGTCATTTCTTCAGATTGTACTCAGTTATATTTTACATATTGCTTTCTATTATATAGATAATTTTCAAACCATTTTTTTGCTGTTCCTCGTATACCATAATGTTCCAATTTTCTTATCAGAATCTTGTGATTAATTGTGTCAAACGCTTTTGACAAATCAAGGAAAATACCAACAGTGAACTTCCCTTCTTCTATTGCTTTAGTTATTTTATCAACAAAATCAAGTACAGCAAGTTCTGTTGACCTGTTGCGTCTGAAACCATACTGATGTTTTGATAATATCTTGCTCTTATCAATAAAATTTATTAGTCTCTTTACCATAAGCTTTTCCAGTAGTTTAGAAAAACAAGTAAGGACTGATATAGGTCGGTAATTTTCAAATCTATTTTCTTTATTGCCTTTAAAAATTGGCGTAACTAATGCGATTTTTAAATTATCTGGAATAATTCCTGATGAAAATGATAAGTTAAAAATATGTGTTAATGGCTTAGAAATTTCCTTAGCAGTTATTTTTGTGATGTTAGCATTAATACCATCATATCCAGAACTTTTGTTCAACTTCATATTTTCAAGTTCTAATTCAAGTTCATATTCCGTAATCGCATTTAGAAAAAAGTTTGACTGATAACTGCCAGAAAGATATTTTTCAAAACTCTCATTTTCATTGTGTTTGATTTTGTTTGGTAGAGTAGGACCTATGTTAATAAAGTAGTCATTGAATTTGCTAGCTATTTCATTCGGGTCTTCAATTATATTTGATGAACAACTTTCTACAAACGCTTTTGATACTTTTATATTTTTAGATGGTTTATTTAGTAGTTCATTTAGCGTTTTCCACATCATTTTTGAATTTTTCTTGTATTTAATTAACTGTTCTTCATAATAAATTTTCTTTGCAATTTTTATGATATGGTTTAGTTTTTTTTTTATATTTTGTGTATTTTTGCCTATTTTTATTATTTGGATTTTTAAGAAGGGTTTCAACAAAAAACAGAAAACCAGTCTCAAACTTCAAATCATGAGGGAAGTCGTGCGACCACATTAGCATTTATAATGTTACTTCGCTGTCGCCATTGTTACAAATAAATTGTCTCATTTATCTGATCGTGTGTGCAATCCTTGTTGGCGGCGGAAAGTACGAAATTTATTTCAGTTATTTCATTTGGTATAAAAGAACTCTACAAAAGAAGAGAGCGTCCAGAGACCAGATCGTTTCGTTTCAAACGGCAATTTAATACCGTCTTCTGTTTCGCTCTCTCAGCGAAGCCTTGTAAATCGCAAAGTGTTTCGAATAGGCTTAAATGCAACTGCATCTCAACATGAACCAAAAGATAATTTTCTTGAGGAACATATAATGTATCAAGTCTGTTTGAAATTAATGAAACTCAAGTAAAGGTTACTATAGTTTACCCCAGTCGTAATGTTGCTATTCTAACACCTCACGACAAGCAATCCCCATTGGCATAACGGCAAAAAAACAATAAACAGTATGTTCATGTTCCATTTATAATCGAAAAAAAGTGATCAATTTTCGAATTTTAAGCTTATCGAGAGCCTTTGTGATGAATCACTGACCTAATTATAGAATCCAACAGCAAACAGCCAATCAGAATGCCGCGTTCGTGGGCGAACGCGGAAAGTACAAAATACCGGGCCTTGCTTGCAGGCCCACTATCAGTTTCCTTGGGCCTGCACGCGGGCTATATTTGGCTTTTCATTCCTTTCAAATCATAATTTCAATGCTCAATTGCTTCACCAAATCTTTGCCAAATTGCTGCGCCAAATGGATCTTTGGGATCATTCTGCGCCAAATTGCTGCGCCAAATCAATATTTGCGATCAATCTGCGCCAAAAACGTGCGCCAATTTTTGTTCGAGTCGCTGTTCTGCGCCGAAGATCTTTCGGAAATACACCCTCAAATTCATTCTGGCATATACGCAGAAGCCGTCGGGTTTTAAAGCCATTATAAAATCAATATTTATAACAAACTTACCTTCGTTAACGTCGGCACTATTGTTCGTCCGTACTTTGACTACTGCTGTGAAGTATGGGATGTATTTGGCGAAACTCAATCAAAACGACTGCAAAAACTGCAAAATAGAGCGGCAAGAATTATTCTGAATATAAGCAATGACGTAGATTATACGATTGCTTTACGTACTTTGGGCTGGGAGCCACTCCAAACTGAAAGGAAGAAAACTAAAGCAAGAATGATGTATAACTTATTAAACAAAATGGGCCCAAAATCACTCACAAATCTATTTTCGTTTAAGAGTGAGAAAACTAATTACCACCTTCGGGATGTCTCAAGTGGTCTTTATTTACCAAAACCACGTACAAATAGCATGAAAAATAGTTTTATATACGACGGAGCAAACATTTGGAATTCTATACCAAAAGAAATTAGGGAAAGCAAGTCACTTTCTTCCTTTCGAAATAAAATCGCTGCTCACATTAGTGCTTGGTAACCTTTGTAAATAAAACTTACCTGTAAATAGCTCAAAACATTTGTTATATCTTTTAAATTTATATATTACTGTAATAGCTTAGCTTATCCTTATCATATTCTGCATGTAAAATAATTTTCTGGCACACGCCCCCCGTGGAAATCAGCTACGGTTGACGGGGTCAGCGTGGATAAATAAATTTCTACTACTGCTACTATATAATATATATATATATATATATATATATATATATATATATATATATATATATATATATATATATATATATATATATATATATATATATATATATATATATATATATATATATTACATATTTGCATATTTTGTTCTATATTATTATTATTATTATTATTATTTAAAAATATTTTAAAACGGTAGCTCTTCAGGGCTCGTAGGCACCTGTTTTTCAAGAGGCCGTTTATTACAGTATTTACAAGCTATATAAATATAATAACACAAATATACACACAAAAACAGAGAAAACATAACGAACTTAATAATTGCATGCACTACATTTGTATCTAAAAATATCCTATCCTATTTAAATATTTACAAAGTTACCAAAAGGAATCAAGTGCCGTCAAGAATACGTTTAAATTTGTTAAGGCTAATGCCTTTTTCTTTTGTTGTAGTTGATAAGTCATTCCAAAGGGATGCAGCTGAATAACTGAAGCTCTTTTTCATAAAATTTGTTTCAGGTTTTCCAAGATCATAGTTGTTATTGTTACTTCTTAAATCATATCTGTCATTTATTTTAATTTTGAACATGTTGCAAATTGATGATGGCATTTTTTCGTTTCGTATTCTGTGCATAAAAATCGATTTATTGGTTTTATAGCGTTGGTCTAAAGGTTGCCAGTCTAATTCTTTTAAAACATCCTCAGAACTAACTTCATAAGTTTTACCAGTGATGATTCGGGCCGCTCTGTTTTGTAATTTCTGAAGTCTGTTTTTTAAGTAATCACAACAGTTATCCCAAACCAAGCTACAATAATCAAAATGTGATAGCACAATGGCATTATATATTTTTACTAAGGTTGATTTGGGAACAAACTGTTTTATTCGTCGCATCATTCCTATTCTTTTTGAAGCTTTTGTGACAATATTTTGGATTTGATGATTCCATAAAAGATGTTCATCAATAATTACGCCTAAAGTTTTTGATTTGTGAACCCGTTTAATGACTGATTCACCAAGCTCAATTTTAGTGTCCGTTAGTACTAAGTTTGAAATTCGTTGTCTTGAACCAATAATCATGTATTCAGTTTTATCTTTGTTAAGTGTAAGTTTGTTTGCAAGTAACCATTGGTGTACATTTTCTAAGTCCACGTTAATGCGTTCTTGTAGTTCGTCATTTGTTTTGCCATTGGTTGAAACATTTGTGTCATCGGCAAACATGCTTGCTGAAGATGAGGTCAGGCAGTTTGGCAGGTCGTTTATATATAATAAGAAAAGAAGTGGCCCAAGATTAGAACCTTGGGGTATTCCACAATTAACTGTTCTTGTCTTGGACATTGTTTGATCTACCTTACATATTTGAATCCTGCTAGAAAGATAGGACTGGAACCAAGCAAGCGTATGACCTCTTATTCCATAACAATGCATTTTTTTAACAATATATTATGATCAACACAGTCAAACGCTTTCTTGAGATCCAAAAAAATCACTCCATTTAACAAAACCTTATCCATATTCATTAGCCATTGGTTCGTGATGTTAAGTAGAGAAGTTTGTGTAGAGTGATTTTTCCTAAATCCTGCTTCTTGTTCTGCAAGAATGTGATTAGTTTCAAGATAAATTTCTAGTTGCTCTGTAACTAATTTCTCATATATTTTAGCAACTGAGGATAGAACCGAGATTTGTCTATAATTATCGCAATTAGTTTTGCTTCCAGCCTTATGAATTGGAGAAATGATAGCAATCTTGAAGTCTTCAGGAAATATACCAGTGTTTATAGATGCGTTAAAGATTGCTGACAGGGATGGTGCTATTACTTCAGCAGCGTCTCTTAGAAGTTTACCGGGTATTCTATCATGCCCTGCTGATTTGGATGTTTTAATTGTAGAGAGCAACTTATATACCTTAGTTAATGAAACATTTTGTATCGTAAATTGTGTATCGGATCTAGTCACGTATGACATGACTCAAATGTCCT